CCCCCCCCCCCCCCCCAACCACTCCAGTAACCCTCTGTTCTCCAGATTTGAGTCTATTATGTTTTGTCCCCCTCCCTGTTTTTATATTATTTTTGCTTCCCTCCTGTTAATATGTTTTGTATCTTAAAGTCCTCATACGACTGAAGTCATCATATGATAGGTCTTTCTGTAATTTCACTTAGCCTAATACCCTTTAGTTCCATCCATAGTTGCAAATAGCAAGATTTCATTCTTTTGATTGCCAGGTAAGACTCCATTGTATATATATATACACCACATCTTTATCCATTCATCCATTGATGGACATTTGGGCTCTTTCCATACTTTGGCTATTGTTGATAGTGCTGCTGTAAACATTGGGGTGCATGCGTCCCTTCGAAAAACCATACCTGTATCCCATGGATAAATGCCTAGTAGTGCAATTGCTGGGTCCTAGGGTAGTTCTATTTTTAATTTTTTGAGGAACCTCCATACTGTTTTCCAGAGTGGCTGCACCAGCTTGCATTCCCACCAGCAGTGCGAAATAAATCCTCTTTCTCCTCATTCTTGCCAACATCTGTTGTTCCCTGAGTTGTTCATTTTAGCCATTCTGACAGGTGTAAGGTGGTATCTCATTGTGGTTTTGATTTGTATTTCCCTTAAGATGAGTGATGTTGAGCATGTTTTCATGTGTCAGTTGGCCATCTGGATGTCTTCTTTGGAGAAGTGTCTATTCATGTCTTTTGCCCATTTCTTCACTGGATTATTTGTTTTTTGGGTGTTGAGTTTGAAAAGTTCTTTACAGATTTTGGATCCTAACCCTTTATCTGATATGTCATTTGCAAATATCTTCTCCCATTCCGTCGGTTGCCTTTAGTTTTGCTGATTGTTTCCTTCTCTGTGCAAAAGCTTTTTATTTTGATGAGGTCCCAGTATTTCATTTTTGCTTTTGTTTCTCTTGCCTCTGGAGACATGTTGAGTAAGAAGTTGCTGCAGCCAAGATCAAAGAGGTTTTTGCCTGCTTTCTCCTCGAGGATTGATGGCTTCCTGCTTTACACTTAGGTATTCCATCCATTTTGAGTTTATTTTTGTGTCTGGTGTAAGAAAGTGGTCCAGGTTCATTCTTCTGCATGTCGCTGTCCAGTTTTCCCAGCACCACTTGCTGAAGAGACTGTCTTTATTCCACTGGATATTCTTTCCTGCTTTGTCAAAGATTAGTTGGCCATACGTTTGTGGATCCATTTCTGGGTTCTCCATTCTGTTCCACTGATCCGAGTGTCTGTTTTTGTGCCAATGCTGTCTATATTTTAACAAAAATGTATTGAATCCTACCATATGATAGGCCGTGGTCTGGATGCTCCTTAAAAAACAAAGGAAGAAAAGACTTTTAGATGTTACTTACCCCCAACAATTTCATGATGAGTTCACGTTCTTCTTCATCTTGGTCTTTGTATTTTTCCTTCATTTTTTTCATTTTACTCTACAAAATCAAAAGATTTTACTTGGAAAACTTCAGTTAAAAAATGTCAACAAATGTTTGTAAAGAAAAGGTGCTCCTGGGGCGCCTGGGTGGCTCAGTCGGTTGAGTGTCTGACTTCGGCTCAGGTCATGATCTTGGAGTCTGTGAGTTCGAGCCCCACATCGGGCTCTGTGCTGACAGCTCGGAGCCTGGAGCCTGCTTCGGATTCTGTGTCTCCCTCTCTCTCTGGCCCTTCCCTTCTTGAGCTGTCTCTCTCTCTCTCTCTCAAAAATAAACAAACATTAAAAAAAAAAAATTAAAAAAAAAAAAAAAAGGTGCTCCTATTCTCTGTCAGAAATGGTTACCAAGCAAGGTACCATTATAATAAACAACATGGAGGCTAAGAAGATGGATAAACCATAGTCCTCAGCCTCAAGGAGTTTACCATCTGGTAGAAAAAAAATACATATAAGAGCAAGGATAAATTAATGCAACATATTCTAAATGCAAACATTATTCCTAAGATACTTCAGAGAAAGAAATTTCTTTCAGCTTAAGCAAGAACTGTGGGGAAGAAATAAAGTAAAACTTGAAAGTCTTAAGTAAATTTTATAGTATCAGGGATTATATAAAAAGCGGGATTATAAGGTAAAAACAGGACAGTATACTAACAGCAAATTATTACATTTGGTTGGAGTCAGGATATACATATAGAGGAAGAACAGGAAACAAGGCAGCAAAGCTAGTCTGGATAAAGGCAAGGCACTTAAGGCTTTGAATTTTCTCAACCAACTGGCTTTAATCTTTACCTTTTACCTGGGCTACACTTCCAAATCACCTAGTAATTTTTTTTTCGTCTAGTAATTTTTAAAAACAGACATCTAGGCCTCACCTCCAAAGATTTTATTTTTGCTTTATTAATCTTAGCTGGGGCCCAATACAAATTTTACAAGATCTTATAAATCTTGTAAAATCTTTACAAATTTTAAAGATTTCTTTAAACAGGACACAAAAAAAACTATAAAAGATTGATGATTCAGATTTCATTAAAATTAACAGATGCTGCTCATCAAAAACACATGAAAAAAAAGCAAGACTGAGGGTGCCTGGTGGCTCAGTGAGCTGAGCATCTGACACTCAATTTTGGCTTGGGTCATGATCCCAGGGTCATGGAATCAAGCCCTGTGTTGGGGCCCTTGATGAGCATGGAGCCTGCTTGGGATTCTGTTTCTCTCTCTGCCCCTCTCTCTCCAGCTCAAGAGCTCCCTCTCTGCCTAAAATAAAAAAATAAAAAAAGGAAGCCTGAAAAGTATTTCTAACCTATACATCCAAGAAAAGACCTATATTCAGAATTTCAAAGAACTCATATACATTAATGACAAAGCTGGACAACCTAATTTTTACAACTGGGCACTTCAAAAAGAGGACAGATGTCTAATAAACATGAAAAAGTGTTCAATATCATTAGTATTCAGGGTCATACAAATTAAAGCCAGAATAAGACTGTGGTATATACATGCTTGAATGACCAAAAGACCCCTGACGACACCAAATGTTACAATGCAGAACAATTATAATTCGGATATTCTGCTTGAGAGGAAATTGGTGAAGTACTCCAGAAAACTGGTAGTTATCTACTAAAGCCAAACACAACATGAATGCTATAAATCAGCATTCAACTCTTAGCTATACACAACAGCGATTAAGATTTTTTTTTTTTTTTTGGTGGGAATACTAATTAGGCGCAAGTGTGGGCTTTCTGGAAGAGTGAGTACTGGAAACATTTAAGTATCACATGATGGTGGCTTCACAGATACATGTGTGTTTAAAAATTCACTGATCTAAACAGTCTAGATTTGTGCATTTTACTATATGTACATTATGCCTCAAAAACAAAAACAAAAACAACCCTGAAAGGGGCACCTGGATGGCTCAGTCTATTGATCGACTTCAGCTCAGGTCATGATCTCACGGTTCGTGGCTCTGTGCTGACAGCTTGGAGCCTGGAGCCTGCTTCAGATTCTGTGTCTCCCTCTCTCTCTGCCCCTTCCCCACTTGCACTCTCTCTCAAAAAAAGTAAAAGCATTAAAAAAAAATTTCTTTTTAACCTGACAGTAAAATGAACAATATTATCATGAAACTGAACCAAGAAATGGAAAACCCAATGAAAAGAACAGTTTGGAAAACAGAAGTTAGGAAACTCAACTTTGAAGAAACAAAACTGAATGGACCTATCATCACTGGAGAAAATTTAATTAGCATATACAGTACAACTTTGGTTTCAGAGCATAATCTGTTCCATATACATGCTTATAGTCCTAAGCACTTGTATATTTTTTGTTTTAATGTTTTATTTATTTTTGAGAGAGAGAGTGCAAGCAGGGAGGGGCAGAGAGAGAGACACAGAATCCAAAGCAGGCTCCAGGGTCTGAGCTGTCATCACGGAGCCCGACACAGGGCTTGAACTCAGACCATGGGATCGTGACCTGAGCTGAAGAAGGCCGCTTGGCCAACTGAGCCACCCAGGTGCACCCCCCCTCCTTTTTTTTAATGTCTAAGCACTTGTATATCAAAGTGAATTTCAAGAACCATTGGCTCCATTGTGATCCAGCATCACATACTACTCGTATTCCAAGATACTGCTCGTTTATCATTAGCTAAAATTTATTAGAAATGTGTGCTGCTCTTGTGAAACACTCACAGAACAAGTTACTGGTGCAGCCTCTCTGGAAAACAGTATGGAGGTTCCTCAAAAAACTAAAAATAGAACTACCCTACGACCCAGCAATTGCACTAGTAGGCATTTATCCAAGGGATACAGGTATGCTGTTTCAAAGGGACACATGCACCCCCATGTTTATAGCAGCACTATCAACAATAGCCAAAGTATGGAAAGAGCCCAAATGTCCATCGATGGATGAATGGATAAAGGTACCTTCACACCTTTTACCACTCCCTCCACACCTTAATGACACCTTAATATACACATACACACACACACAATGGAGTATTACTCAGCAATCAAAAAGAATGAAGTCTTGCCATTTGCAACTACGTGGATGGAACTGGAGGGTATTATGCTAAGTGAAATTAGTCAGAGAAAGACAAAAATCATATGACTTCACTCATCTGAGGACTTTAAGAGACAAAACAGATGAACATATGGGAAGGGAAACAAATATAAAAACAAGGAGGGGGGACAAAACAGAAGAGACTCATAAATATAGAGAACAAACTGAGGGTTACTGGACGGGTTGTGGGGGGGGGGTGGGCTAAATGGATAAGGGGCACTAAGGAATCTACTCCTGAAATCACTGTCGCACTATATGCTAACTAATTTGGATGTAAATTAAAAAAGTAAAGAGCCAAAAGTAAAGTACAGAAACCAAGAGAGGGGGATGAACAATATGATCTTCGTGTACGTGACTTCTTCCTAAAATTGGTATTTTGTATAACGAAGGCAGAAATTTGGTCTTTCTTGTTCACCACTGAATGTGCAGTACCTAGCAGGGTAGCTGGTACAAAGTAAAAATAAAACCTTGCATTGCAAGTAACCTGTTCTGCATGTGTTCCACAAGACAAGCAAACATTTCTAATAAATTTTAACTTGATAAATGAGCGATGTCTTGCAACACGAGTATTACGTGACACCGAATGTCACATGATCACAAATTTCCTGATTACAAAGTGCTTTGGATAACAAGCATGTTTCCAGAACCGATAATGCTCACAAACCAAAGTTTTACTATACTTAAAAACCGACCCACAAACTGCCAAAATACCAGGTCCAATTATAAGCAAACGCTATCTATCACATTTCAAGGAACGATCTCCATTTTATACAAAGTTCTAGAGAGCAGAAAAAGGAAAACCTTCCAAACTTCTTTTATGAAACTGGTATAACCTAGATAGCAAAACCCCAAGGGCAGTATGAAAAACCAGAGGCGAATTTAATCGATTTTCTTAAGTAATTTACCACATTAACTAAGGGAAGAAAAAGCATAAGGAAGTAAAAGAAAAATGCAGAAAAGGCATTCAATAAATTTAATATTAAAAATAACCCTTCATAAAGGCTATCTACCAACCAACAACTCCCAGGAAACATCCCACAATGATAAAAATCTTAGCAACAGTCCCTTTAATGTATAATTAACAAAGATACACACTATTATTACTTCTATGCAACACTGTACTAATGTTTGAGCCAATGCAAAAAACAGAATAGATATTAGGATTAGAAGAAAAGCCATTATTTGGAGACACTAATGCTGCCTACAAATGGAATACTAAAATGTACAGTAAGATTACCTAATACTAAATCAATGTAAGAAAATCATCTCCCCACAAACCAGTAATGATAGGAAGTGAAAGTTTTAAAAATATACCATTAACAAAAAGTAAGAAAAATTATAAGCAGGAACAGATAAGATGTATAAAACTCTATGGGAAAATATATCTTTACTGAAGACTATAAAATATTCTTACAAGACTATAGTCACATTCAAGGACAGGTAAACTCAATGTGGTAAAGATGAAAGGTTTCCACAAAATTATCTAAAACTTCAATGTCTTTTAATAAAGATCCTCAGGATTTGCCTTGGAACTTTATCTGCAGAATATTTCATTGTATGAAAGCACCATGTTTTTTATGTTGTTGGGCATTTAAGATTTTTTTCAATTTTCGGTTTGTTTTTTGCAATTACAAATATCAACCTGATGAATATTCTTATGCTAGTGCATGCACATGATTTTTTTAGGATAAATTCCTAAAGGTAGAATTGCTGAGTCAAAGGGTCAATACATTGTTAGGACTCTTGATGGGAATTCCCATGGTGTGCACTGAAACATTTACTGAATGACTGAATACACATTTTCTATTAATTTGATGGGTGGAATTTCCTTTTATCACTTTTTTTTTTTCACATTTGCCATTGGTCTTTCCATTTTATAAATGGTTCTTTTTGTCACCTGGAATTATTTTTTTTTTAACATGACTAACCACTAATTTTGAGTATTTGATACTTTCCCCAATAATCTGTAATAGTATTTTATCACATACTAAATGTTTAAATATTACAGTTAATGTCTTATGTCTAGATTTTATTCAGTTTCACTTTTTGTATTTGGCTTTTTCTATGTTAATACCATACTGTTTTAATAGTCCTAACATGAAATGTTTTACTACCTAGTAAGGAAATCCCTCCTCAATCTTCTTTTTCAAGATTTCCTTAGCAACTCTCTAATATTTACTCTTTGAAATGAACTTTAGAATTATTTTATCAAGTAAGTTAAAATCTCAATTGTGATTAAAGTCATGTCGAATGTACAAGTTTATTTACTTTGAGAGAGCATGCACGGTAGGCAAAGAGAAAGAGAGGGAGAGAGTATCCCAAGCAGGCTCCACACTGTCATAGCGCAGAACCCAATGTGAGCTCGAACTCACAAACCATGAGATCATGACCTGAGCCAAATTGAGAGTCGGTGGCTTAACCGACTGAGCCACCCAGGTGCCCCTGAATGTACCTATTAATATGAGGAGAATTATATTCTTCTCTTCCATATGCTCAGCATGTCCCTTTATTTTTTTGAGGTCCACTGGAAAAAAAATCCAGGAAATTGTGACCACTATGGATGGAGGGAAAATCATAAAACATGACCTTTATTAAGATTTCAAAGGAATTTAATTTTTATAGTGATAAATGGATACATATTAGCTCACAATTTCCTTTTTTTACACTGCTACGGCATTTTTTAAAGTATATTCTGTATCTACTACCTCTTCCTTCATTATCCACCTTTAATAAGAAATATAGGACCTCTAACCAAAATCTCATTAATATTTGAAAAAAACAAATATCACTAAATATCACTAACAACCAGCACCAGCTGTTACTAGCAGAGTGTCACTAGCAAATCACAATCTTCTAATTCTTCTTCTACATAAAATGAGAGCTTGTATCTAGATGATCTTCAAGGAACATAGAACAGTGATCTCCATGTTCCCCAAACCTTGTCTCTTTTTAACTAATTTTCAAAGAAACTCACATAGGATTATTTTTTTGCCTACATCTTTTGTTTCGCTTAAACTTTAAAAAAATTAAGAGCCTCATAACTTCATTTGTGAGCCAAGGAGTACTAAGTTTAACAGTTCACTCCCAAGTTTTATTACCTTTTGTCCTCGCTTCATTGGCTGCACAGCTGGGACACTTTTGCTTGTGTTCTGATGAGTTTCAATGTGTAGAGCATTTTCTTTTTCTTTGTCCTTTACCTCTATCACTTCTAAATCCCCTGAGTCACTTGGAAGCTTTTTCTTCTTCATTTCCCTAAACATAAATGAAATGGGAACATCTAATTCTTTGAATTTCAAATCTTTAGTGCCTTAAAATAGTACAGGGGAAGGAGAACATGTACAATATGTAAAAGATCATGGCTCCTGCTTAACTTCATAACCACCAGGCTACACTATAAAACAAGCACAAATCATCACACTGGAAAAAGTTGAAAATTTTTTGTTCATGGATTTATCATTCTGTCAGCCAGGCTTAATACACTGTTACACCCTTTACTTATCCTTACTCAGTAGCCACATTCAGTCCCTCCACACCTTAATGACCAGGCACTGGGATCTGCAGTCTTAAGTTAGCATGGCCTTGACCGATCTTAAATATTCAATAAAATATCCGTTGCCAGGTTAGTTGAATAAATAATGGATAAAAATATGCAGATTAAGGAGGAAGGGGAAATTCTATTACTATGCTATTTTTCATGTGCAATCTTTTTATCCCCACTGCCACTGTCTAGTCCAGGTCCTCATCACTTCCTACCTAGACCTTCCTCCAGTGTTTCCCCGTAATCTGCTCTATGTGAACTTCTAGTCTTCCTACCTATATCACATTCCCATTTAAAGTCTCCCAAAAGTGCTCATCACTTTCAGGAGAAAGTCCAAAAATCCTTAATTTATCATTCTAATAACTTCTCCACTTTTGGTCCAAATTCACTTTGCCAATCTTACCATCTACCAGTTCACAAACATGAACTTTTTGCTCCTTTCACCTCAGTCTATCATTTCCCCAAAGCACTATGTGTAATATTTCCAATTCTGTGCCCTGTTCTATTCATGCTTATTTTCTTCTGAATCTCTGACCATCTTACCTTCATTTACCTAAATAAGTTCTAACACATCTTTAACGTATACTTATGATGGTATTTCCCAAAACACCTGAACTCATAGCAGTTTCTTACCCCTGAACTACTGTATCCCTACCATATGGCTCTTTCCTGATCCAGGACTCAAAAACTTCTCGAAGGCACACATTTTATATTTTACCTCTTTGTATACTCACTATCTAGCATAGTGCCATGTCCTCAGAGAGATCACTGAAACTGTTTCATGACTACCTTCGTAAAACAAAAAGGCCTATCGTCCACTCCACCCTAGGGTCTCTAGAGTGCTTTACTAGCTGTATAGCCTTTTTCTTTTCTTTTTTTTTTTTTTTTTTAAGCCCTATAGTGGGTTTTTTTCTTTTACCCTATAGTTGTTTCTTTCCTTCTGCTTCCCCCTTTCTATTTGCCTTCTGAGGCCTGCTATGTTAAAAAAAAAAAGAAAGAAAGAAAAAAAGTCTTTTTATTAAATAAAACTTTCCTAGTTATTTTCAAGTATTCCTGTCAATATTATCCTAGAACCAGTCAATTTAATGCACTGCATTCGCTATTGCATATATTTACGTAACAAAGGGTCTCACTCACGTTACTTTACCTATATAACTGATTGTAGTGACAGATCAGGGCTCTAAAACAGAAAAACCTATGAGAGCTGAATATTAAGAACTAAACAAGGTTTATGCTAAATCTTGGTAATTTTAATAAGGGAAGTCTTTGGAATAGCCAAGTGATCTGTCACAACTGAACTGTCGGTAAGAAAAAAAATTATATGCTTTTCAGTTAGATAACACAAATATGTTTACCTTCTTTCCTTGGCTGACAAATGTCTCCGGCTCTGTAATTTACTGTCACTCTATTAAAATTAAAACAAAAAAAAAACACAAGCAAATACAAACAATAACATCACTACTATTAATTTTTCAGAAAGTAAAATTAAAAAGTACAAAATTACTCATTGAGAACATGATGTTCTTCACAGAACTTTGAAAACAGCTTACCATACTAGAAGATTCTTCTTTTGAAGCCAATTTCTGGAGGGACCTATGAAAACAGAACGAGGCATCTACTAGGTTGTAAAAGGCATTCATTTAAAGTCTGCAAACATTCCCATATCATACGCTTAATTACTGGCAATCCTACAAACTTTCAAACATTGACAAAATTTTAAAAAACATAATCAAATTGCTCATCTCACACTTCTAAATATATTCTTAAATAGCAGACATGTATTGAACACTTACTATGTCCCAGGCACTGCCAGATGCTTTATATACAAATAATCTTCACCAAAACCCAATGAAAGGAGTAACATTCCATTTTCACAGAGAATGAAACTTAAGCTGAGACACAGAGTAAGTTACCCTATGACACCCCCTAAGACCCAGTTCTGGTCAGACTCCTATGGTGTTCCTAATTACTCCAGTGATAGAGCTTTCAGAACTATGTTATTGTTTACCTGGTGATCAATAAGACATTAAAGATTAAAACACCTATATATATTTTTTTAATGGAACTGCCTCTCTTACATTATTAGCATTTATATTCATTTACTTGTTTCTATTTTGACCTACTTTGGCCATTTTCATATTTACTGTATTTTTCTACACTGGGTCCTCGAAATTTCTTGACAGAGATCCACCCCCCAATCAAACAGTAAAAAGATAGTAAGACTGTCGGACAATGGAGGGTAAAAGTACTGAAGTCAATCATGTTATTATCTTTGTAAGGATTAACTCTTCCATCATTCCCAGCTATAATAGGTTTTAATTACCTTTGAGATTGAAGGTGGGACAAATCAATGGTAGTGTCAGGATAATTTAATGTGTCTTTGCCTTCATCCATCATTTCAGCAACAGGTTCCTGATCTTTTACCACTTCTTCAGATTCTCCTTCATCTTCCGAGCTCTCTTCCTGAATTATTTCATCATTTAGCTCATCTCCACCACTGTGAATAGTGATATCCTCCTGGTCAACCTGACTCATAAGCTCCACTTCCAGAGGAGTTTCGTGTGATTCCTCTTTATCTTCGTCACTGCTACTGTCACCTCCGTCTGTAGAATCATCATTAAGAAAAGTCAGAGTGCTATCACCATAACAAACCTAGAGGATTACCTTGAAAACTTCAAAAACAATAATATTCTGTTGACTCTCTGTGTCTCCAAGACATCACCAAAAAAAAAAAAAAAAAAAAAAAAAAAAAAAAAAAAGCCTGATCACATCCCCAAAGGGTACTCAGACAAAAAAGGATTCTCTTGTATCATGAACTGGTTGGAATAAATGCTCTCCGAGATACTTTACCATAATAAATATCTTGGACAATGCAACCATTTCTATAACGAAAACTTTAACTTGTCTTGGTTAGGTATTTCCAAAGAGGAGGACAGGAAAAGTAATTCCATAAATTCTACTGCTGTTATTGTAATTTGCACATGAGAAGTGAAATGAGACAATACATGCAATACAATTGGCACACAGAAGGTATTCATACCTTTGCAAAAGAAACACTGTCTAGTAATAATATTACCTAATTGGCTCCCTAATAAAAGGAGATGCCATCACCATCTGACAAAGACGGTTGTGAGAATTCAGTTAAAAATAATGTAAATAGGGGCGCCTGGGTGGCTCAATCGGTTAAGTGGCCGACTTCGGCTCAGGTCATGATCTTGCAGTCCATGAGTTCGAGCCCCGTGTTGGGCTCTGTGCTGATAGCTCGAAGCCTGGAGCCTGCTTCTGTTTCTGCGTCTCCCTCTCTCTCTGCCCCTCCCCCATTCGCACTCTGTCTCTGCCTTTCAAAAATGAATAAATGTTAAACAACAACAAAAAAAATAAAATCTTGTGATACAACAGTAGTCATAAAATGAAGCCACAATATTACTCCTAAAGAAGAATGACTCTGGGAAAAAGAATAACTGTAAAAGTAAAACAGTGGGCATACTTTCCCTATTCCTTCAGGTACGTGAGTAAATTTATTCCAGCAACCACAGTTGCTCTCTACTTGAAGCAAATGTATTATTACATCAAGCCAAAGTCCCACATGAGAAATTCTACTTATTATAAATTCATCTCTGTATAAGTTCTAATTATTAAATCCAAAAGTAAATGCTCATTCACAAATACCTGAGTCTATCTTTGCTGAACACATTTACATATGACCCATTAAATACCGAAGTTTTACTACATTTGTTTATATAGTAGTTATGGTCCAATTAAATACTTCATAATTCATTAGAACAAGTATGTTTAACATTTCCAAAAACAAAATTCAGTAAAATTGACAGCAACTGTATTTTTGAAATTTCAATTATCCCAAAGTAGATACGATCTTCTAAGAATTCAGAAGCAAAACTAGACAAAAGGTAACACTATAAGCTACTTTATTAAAATCTGTAAACTACCTAGTTGTTCCATTTCTTCTGATATGAGTTCACGTGTGCAACTTGCCAATGTTTCCATGTCTTCATCCTGCACTCTGACTTTTCTTTCACCCCGATGTCTCCAAATACAAGACTCATCTACCTATGGAAATAGTTATTTTTCACTGATGAAACTTTAGGTAAGACTAAAGAAAATTTAAAAAAACATTAACAAAGAAGCTGAAGGATACCTTAAAGAGGAAACTAAACCCCATCATTAGATACGAGGGAGGAAGGAAATTCTTCTTTCCTATAAAAGATAATAAACATAAATGTTAAAAATTGTTTTTTTCCATTTTATGCTTACAAATTATCTGACACCAATGGTCACATTTATTTGGTCTTTTCTCTGTCATGAAGGAACACAGAATTTGGCATTATGTATAGGAACAGGAATTAAGAAAGAAAAAATATGAATGCTTGCTCTCATCTTTGGGTTAGTCAATCCGTGAATAATCTTTTAGAAAAAAAGGTCATGTTATATGAAAGCACATCCTCGTCAAGAAAAATATCTATGGAGATGACATAACAAATGCTAAATCTGCCACAGCAGCACAAAATTTTCCTTATTTAATAATAGATTTCATATATGAAATCATAATAATTTCTGTTCTGAAAATATTAGTAAGTAATGGTCCTCAAACCGGTCTCCATAATCATTACCTCGTATCATGAAGCTTCCTGTTGTCAAATATTCTCCAGTTGGTGCTGTTTTAGACACCTGAGGAACACAATACCACATCATACTGTTGTCTCAAGACACGTGTTTTTAAATTTTTCACTCAAGAAAGTAAAGTCATATTTAAGTAAATAGCACCATCTCCTGAAAAGTTTATGATTTAGTAAAAATTCTCAATACTGAAATATCTCTTCAAAGACAGAAATACCATTGGCAGTAACAAAGAAAAGAAATAATGAAGGATATACTACATCAATAATTTTCAAATGCCATGGATTAGAGGCAGAACTTGTTCACACATTTCCTCTGATTTGAGATATAATAGGAAAAATAAGAAAAGTTTAATAAAACTATATTTACTAAAATAAAACTATACTGGGGGCCCGCCTGGGTGGCTCAGTCGATTAAGCACTTGACTTCGGCTCAGGTCATGATCTCATGGTTTGTGAGTTTGAATCCTGCATCAGGTTCTGTGCTGACAGCTCAGAGTCTGGAACCTGCCTCAGATTCTGTCTCTTTCTCTGCCCCTCCCCCACATGTGTGTGCATGCACTCTCTCTTTCTCTCTCAAAAATAAACAAAAAAATTAAAAAACAAACTAGATTTACTAAATAAAGTCCTTTCCTAAGATACTGTTTTGGGGGTAGTAAAATAACCTTTCATTTTAGGAAATAAAATGATGTATTTAAAAATTGTATGTTATCTGCGAAACCCCCAAATCTGAGAGTACCTTTGTCATAGTTTTTGGAGGGATTAAAAGCACACTAATTTCACCATTAAAAAACCTGTTCAATGAAAGAATTAAAACCACTTTTATAACAGGTAGAAAATATAATACCAGAAATGATATTAATTTCCTGAAAACACAGTATCATAGTATAAGCAGAAAATAATGACTATAAATAGATACAAGATGAACCTAAGGGAGGATAATAGTAATGAACTCTTTATCTTGCTGTATAGCTGTAAGACCCTGTAATATATCACTATCAATTGCAATTATTGAAAATGTGAAACAGAAAATGAAGTCAAATATGGAGTGAAGTATCAAGTAACAGCAGTAACGACAAAGAAGGACAATTACTAAAGCCAAATGAATAAAAAACACTGGATATAACTATTTTTCAGGAAGGGCCAAAGAGAGATCAGAAAATTCCAACAAAGATGAAGAGGAACACTCTTCATCTTATATAACTGCATAAATCATTCTCTTCCTTTAGGTGTCTGCTCAAATCTTACTTTCCTAGAAAGGCCTTCCCTGACACTACTTTCAAAATGGTAGCCCCAATCACTCTTTAGTGCCTACTCTGCTTTAAAGAAAAAACGTTATAGCACTTGTTACCAGACATTATGTATGTGTTTTTCTCCACCACCAAAATGTCACCTCAATCAAAGTAGGTACTTTGCCTTGTTGACTTCTATACCCTCAAAATTTGGTACACAATAGCTCTTAATAATTAAGAAAAAGGACCACAGCCCTTATTACCTGATGATGGTACACCCACCAAGCACTAGTGATAACTCGTGCATCCCAGGCAGCACTGTAGCAAAGTGCCATTGTGCCGGCTTCAGTCAAGGTCCGAGGTGGAATGGGTTCTCCTGTGATATAAACACCACAATGCTTCAGTACCCAAGTACAGAGTTTCTATACAGCAAGACCTGAAAATCACATGCAACATGATGGATTTGATCCTCTTACATCTTAAATACTGATACCACATTTTAATTTCAATATTACATGAAGTTATGATTTTTATTAACAATATATTTACAACATCACTCACATTCAGGGAAATGCAAATCAAAAACCACAATGGACTATCACCTCACACCTGTCAGAATGGCTAAAATCAAAAACACAAGAAGTGACAAGTGTTGGCAAGGATGTGGAAAAAAAGGAACCCTTGTATACTGTCGGTGGGAATGTAAACTGGTGCAGCCACTGTGGAAAAAAAGTATGGAGGTTGCTCAAAAAATTAAAAACACAACTACCATATGATCCAATAATTGTACTACTGCGTATTTACCCAAAGAATACGAAAACACTAATTCAAAAGGATATATGCACCCCTATGTTTATCTCAATATTATTTACAACAGCCAAATTATGGAAGCAACCCCAGCATCCATCAATCAATGAACAGATAAAGATGTTGTGTACACACACACACACACACACACAATGAAATATTATTCAGTCATAAACAAGAATAAAATCTTGCCATTTGCAACACAGATGGATCGATCTATAGAGTACAGTGCTAAGCAAAATAAGTCAGAGAAAGACAAATACAATATAATTTTACTCATATGTGGAATTTAAGAAACAAATGAACAAAAGAAAAAAAAAAGAGTCCATCAAAAAACAGACTCTTAACTAAAGAGAACAAACAGATGGTTACCAGAGGGGAGCTGGGTGGGGGGATGGGTGAAATAGGTGAAGGGGATTAAGAATACACATTTATCTTAATGAGCACTGAGTAATACACAGAATTGGTGAATCACTATTGTATACCTGAAACTTACAGAACACTGTATGTTAACTATACTGGCATATTTTATGCCAGATAAAAAAATAACAATTACAAATATATATTTACAAAGCAGGTTTTTAAACAGTCTAAGTAAATAAAACAAATCAGAGAAGAAATGCCTTCTCATTTATGTCAATAACTCTAACTTCATTCCAGAAGGAATCACCTAGAAAAGCCTAGTCAAAGTTTGAATTCTTCCAGAATTACTATAAATCACCTAAATTGTCAAAATGAAGAGCATATTAATAATATATCCCTACAATTAGATTTCAGATACTTTTTAATTGGGATGTAATTCATGTACCATAAAATTCACCCTTTTAAAGTATATAATCCAATGGTCTTTAGTATATTCATAAAGCTACATAACCATTACCACTAATTCCAGAACATTTTCATTATCCCTCAAAGAAATCCTATATCCATAAATAGTCATTCTCCATTTTCCCAGCCCCTGACAATCATTAACACACTTTGTGTTTATGGATTTGCCAATTTTGGAATTTCATATCAATGGAATCATATATATCTGGCTTCTTTCACCTAGCATAATGTTTTCAAGGCTCATCCCTGTTACAGCAACTATCAGTACTTCATCTCTTTTTAAGACTGAATAATATTCCATTGAATGGATATACAACTTGTTTATTATCAACTGATGAACATATGGGTTGTTTCTATTTCTTGGCTATTATAAATAATGCTGTTAGGAATATCTGCAAACAAGTTTAGTGTGGTCAGTTTGTCTATATAACTAGGAGTCGAACTGCTGGGTGACAAATTTTATGGTTAATTAAAAACAATTTTTTTTTTAACGTTTATTCATTTTTGAGAGACACAGCATGAGTGGGGGAGGAGCAGAGAGAGAGGGAGACACAGAATCCAAAGCAGGCTCCAGGCTCCGAGCTGTCAGCACAGAGCCCGATGCAGTGCTTGAGCTCACTGACCGTGAGATCATGACCTGAGCTGAAGTCGGAAGCTTAACAAACTGAGTCACCCAGGTGTCCCCTATGGTCAATTTTCTGAGGAACTGCCAACTCTATTCCATAGTGGCTACATCATTTTCCATTCCCATCAGCAGCATATAAGGGTTCCAATCTCTACATCCTTCCCACACGTTTTGTCTATTTTTTTTTTATTACGACTATTCTCCTGGGTGTGAAGTGGTACCTCTTTGTGGTCTTGATTTGCATTTCCCTAATGATGAATGATACTGAGGATCTTATGTGCTCACTGGCCATTCGTGTATATTTGGGAAAATATCTATTTGAATCGTTTGTCATTTAAAAACTTTTTTCCCTTTCTGTTGTTCAGTCTTAAGAGTTCTTTGGATACTGGTTCCTTAGCAGACAGATAAATGACTTGCCAGTATTTTCTCTTACTCTGTGGGTTGTCTTTTCATCTTCTTTTTTTTTTTTTTAATGTTTATTTATTTTCTTTTTTTAAAATTTTTTTTTTTAACGTTTATTTATTTTTTTGGGGACAGAGAGAGACAGAGCATGAACGGGGGAGGGGCAGAGAGAGAGGGAGACACAGAATCAGAAACAGGCTCCAGGCTCTGAGCCATCAGCCCAGAGCCTGACGCGGGGCTCGAACTCACGGACCGCGAGATCATGACCTGGCTGAAGTCGGACGCTGAACCGACTGCGCCACCCAGGCGCCCCTGTTCTTCATTTTAAACATGATTTGGCTGACCTGGGTCCTTTGCATTTTCATGTGAATTTTAGGATCAACTCATCAATCTTTGTTAAAAAAAAAAAAAAAGGAAGCTGGAATTTTGACAGATTACATCAAATCTGGAGACTAATATGGGAAGTACTGCCATCAGAAAAATATTAAGACTTCCAATCCATAAACACTGAAAGTCTTTCCACTTAAGTCTTCTTTAATTTCTTTCAATGATGTTTTTTATATTTGGGGTGTATATCTTGCAACTTCTTTTTGGTGAATTTATTCATATTTTTTTAATGCTATTACAAATGGATGTTTTATTAGTTTACTTTAGTACCGTTCATTGTGAGTGCATAGAAATACAACTGACTTTTATATATCATACAAATGTATCCTGAACATTTAGTAAAATTATTAACTAATAATTTTGGGGGAATTCCTTGAGGTTTTAAACATATAAGATCATGTCATCTGCAAATGGAAATAGTTTTACTTGGTCTTTACTAATGTGGATATTTTTTATTTCTTTTTATTGCCTGTCTACTTAGAACATCCATACAAGGTTGAATAGAAATAACAAGGATAGGAGCACCTGGTGGCTCAGGAGGTTAAGTGTTTGACTTCAGCTCAGGTCAAGATCTCATGGTTCTTGAGTTCGAGCCCCGCATCGGGCTCTGTGCTGACAGCTCAGAGCCTGGAGCCTGCTTCAGATTCTGTGTCTCGCTCTCTCTGCCCCTCCCCCACTTTTGCTGTCTCTCTCTCTCTCTCAAAAATAAATAATAAGCATCAAAAGATTATTTTTAAAAATAAAAAAAAAAGGGACAACAACAGACATGTTTGTCTTGTTCTGGATGTTAAGGGGAAATTTTTCAGTCTTTCACCATCAAGTATGATGTTTTATTAATTTTATGAAGTTTTATTAATTGTGTTTTATGAAGTTTTATTAATTGTGTTGACCTTTTTTAAAAAAAGTTTGGTTTCACTGATCTTCTCTATTGTTCTTCTATTCTGTTGCATTTGTTTCCACTCTAATCTTTTTAATTCCTTCTGTTCCTTACTATGGGTTCTATGCTTTTCTTTTTCTAGATCTTAATGTTACAGTTTTGTTAATGATTTGAAATGTTTCCTCTTTTTATAAACATTACAGCTATAAACTTCTAAGCACTGCTTTAATTGCATCTCCTATCATTTTGATATACTGTGTTTCATTTCACTCATCTCAAAAGTATTTTCTAACACTCCCCTATGATTTTCTCTTTGACACTCGTTATTTATGACTGTGCTGTTTAATTTCCACACATTTGTGAATTTTCCAAATTTTCCTCTAGTAGTGATTTCTAATTTCACTCCATTATGGTAAGAAAACTTACTTTGTATGATTTTAGTAGTTTTAAATTTATTAAGACTTGTCTTCTAGACTATCATATGGTTTAGCCTGGAGAACATACTAGGTGCACTTGAGAATTAGCCTACTGTTGTTAGGTGAGGATATCAGAGATTTATATTAGGTCTAGTTAAATTATTTGTTCATATCTTCTATTTCCTAGTCAATCTTGTATCTAATTATTATATCCATGACTTAAAGTTAGGTATTAAAGTCCTGAAATATTATTGCTGAACTATTTCTCTCTTTGATTCTGTCAGACTTTACTTCAAGGGTATTCTAGGGCTCCGTTGTTGGGTGCGCGTATATTTATAATAGTTATAAATATGTTGATGAATTGACCCTTTTATCATAATAAAGTGTCCTTTAATTCTATTAACAAATTTTGTCATATAATAAGTTTTGAATTAAAGTCTGGAATAATAAAGAGAATAAATAAAGTTTTGAATAATAAAGAGAAATATATTACCTGTTGGATTCTTAATTACACAGCTAGTAGCTCCATGAAGATCAGCATGTACATAAATATCCCCTTAAAGACAAATGAGAAATAATACTTTAAGTCCTGTTCCTTTTTTTTTCTTTTTAATGGTTTTAATGGGTTCAAAATCCAAAGGGGATAAGAAGGCATATAAAGTCCATTTCCCACCCCTAGGAGATCTCTCATAGTCCTCCTTATAGGAAACAGCAATGGTAATATGGCAGATTACTAAAATGGTCAGTTCCTCTCTCCCTTGTTAGCCACACCTCTTTGCTCTGTGACCCTGAAGCTTCTCCCATCAAGTGGAGTCACTTCCCAATCTCTTGAATCTGGACCTGCCCTGTGATCTGCCTTAGCCAGAATATAGCAGCTGTGACCAAGTGCCAGTTCTCAACCTAGGTCTTAACAGGCCTTATGTGCTTCCTCCCTTTCTCTCAGAAACTTGCTGAGTTACCATGTAAGCAAGTCTAGGCCAGCTTGCTGGAGGGTGAGAGATGAGTCATCTAGCAAATGTAAAGGTCCTAAGGACCATGGATATTTGACATGTATGATGAGCAGTCAAGAGGTCAGACTAAGGGAAGAATGGTAAGAAATGAAGAAGGAAAGAAGCCAGGAGGCTTGTAAGCCACAGTGAGAACTGTGAGTTGTATTCTATGTGTGTGCTACCAATGAATAAACAAATGAACAAACAAATGCAGGAGTGAGATCTTTCCTCTTTTGTTAAGGAAAAAGGAAAGTTCCTAACAAATAAAATGAGCAGCCATTGCTTGCCCCAACAGTTCGTCTGGGATTTGAAACTCAAAGAAGAGAAAAACTCATACTGCCCCAACACAAGCTGAGCTCACAGAGAACAAAGCTACAGAAGAGAGAGACCATGCCCTAAGCACCATGGAATACCATGATCCCTGCTGCTTTCTTTTCTGGTCTGGGATCTGCAGTGGATATCAGATTAGTTCTGATTATTGGTTTCTGATACCAACACTGAATGTTCAGCCACAGCGAGGTGGCTGTTATCAGCAAAGAAAAATAAATGAGAAGACTTACATACACCACAGGGCTTAAGTTCTTTTTCTAAATATGGAAAAAAAAGTTACAAACTTCCGCACTAAAAAAACAAGCCTTTAAAAATTTGATCCACACTAACTTTGGAGGACTGAAAGCTATTTTGTTATAATGTAGAAGAGAATCAAAAGTCCAACACTGCAAGATTAGCTCACCATTACTACTTTAGGAATATTCACTTAAAGTGAAGATTAAGTGTCAAAATGCATATTCAACAAACCATAAACCATCAAGATAAACTCCTTCTACCAATTAAACCTGTCATAGAAGATGAAAATCTACATCTAATATTGAAATAATTGATCCAAGTATATGACAAAATTCTTTAAAATTTTTATCTTACCTAAAAAAAATTTTTTTTAAATCTTACCTACCTGTTGTCAAGTATCTTTTCACAATCATTTCATTCTGTTGCTGATCTCTTCCACCTATAATTAAATAGTTCTCTGAGCTAACGAACCACAGAAATTTCTCAAACCTACCAAATTGAAAGAAAAAAAGTTAACATTCTTTTGCTTTATAGTCACCTGAATTCACATCCTTTTTGCAAACAAAATTCCAAGACGCTATCCTACATTGTAGGTTAAGACAACTTGATGGTTTAATTTATTAAAGCATCAAACTGAATTTTATTGAAATCTTATCATACAAATTGGCCAAGGATATTCTTATGAGTCTTAGAAGTAATTAAATTCTATGTTTGAAAATATGTTCTCTCCTTATCTCCCTCTCATATAGTCCCTTCTTAAACTCAAGGATAACATAACAATGAATTACACAAAGCAACAACATACAATGTCACATGGTCCCTAGGTTTAGTTTTCTTTCAGTGGGGCACTGGCTAACTTTTGAGGCCACAAGTAAGAAAGAAGTTTTCTCACTCTGTCCTGAATCAACTGAATACTTACATATATGGTATTCTTTATACTTTTATACTTCTAAAGGTAATTTTTGCTCTATAAAACTAACTTTTCTCAAAAGAAAAAGTAATTTGGTTTTCATGATTAATATATACCATCATGATAAAAAGTAAAGAGTATATATTTGTATAACATTTAGAAAACGACAAAATAGAGATGAACAGAAATGTTTTCTATATTACATATGACTATTTCTTTGACTTAATCTACAATTTAAAAACTTCTGATTAAAAATGATAGATTAAGGGTGCCTGGGTGGCGCAGTCGGTTAAGCATCCGACTTCAGCCAGGTCACGATCTCACGGTCCGTGGGTTCGAGCCCCGCATCGGGCTCTGGGCTGATGGCTCAGAGCCTGGAGCCTGTTTCCGATTCTGTGTCTCCCTCTCTCTCTGCCCCTCCCCCGTTCATGCTCTGTCTCTCTCTGTCCCAAAAATAAATAAAAACGTTGGAGAAAAAAAAAAAAAAA